CTCAAGTCAGATAACTTCTAGAACTAGATGAAAATATAGGTGTACATAAACTTGGGGATGGTTAAAGTGCTTCTGAGATTGGCAACAAAACTAGAAACCTTAACGGAAAAATATGGATAAATCTGACTTCATTAAAACACACACACATGCACTAAGCCCTTTGGGAAGGAAAAAAATTCCATTAAAATTGAATAACAAATGACAAACATAGAAAAATATTTACAATATATGAAAATTCTTACACATAAATAAGAAAAGAGAAACACACCAATATAAACATAAATACAAATAGCAATTCACAAATAATCCAGTGGTTCAATACCAGCTGAAAAAATTCAATCTTAATAAGAATCAAGAACTCTAGTTTCAAGAGGAACTGAACTCTTACATTTACTTCTCTTTCCTCCCTAAGTTCAACTGAAACTACATTTTTTAATGAAAGAAAGGAAAGAAAAGGGGAAAATTCCAAAGCAATGTTGGGAAACAAGTATGGTAGTTCTCCCTTACCTAGATACATTCCTAGACCGCCATGGATGCCTGAAACCACAGATGTACCGAACTCCATATAGACTATGTTTTTTCCTATACATGCATACATATGTTAATTTATAAATTAGGCACAATAAGAGATTAACAACAAGTAATAAAATAGAACAATTATAACGATATACTGTAATAAAAGTTATGTGAATGTGCTCTCTCTCTCTCTCTCTCAAAATAGCTTATTGTATGGTACTCACTGTTCTGGTAACGCTGTGAGATGAGAAAATGCCCACATGATGAGATGAAGTGAGGAGAATGATGTAGGCGCTGAGACATATGTAGCCTTAGGCTCCTGCTGACCTGCTAATGAAGGAGGAGCACCTGCTTCTGGACCACAGTTGACTGCAGGTAACTGAAACCATAGAAGGTGAACCTGTGGGGAAGGGGGGACTGCTGTATGGTAGATTCTTTGGGATCTGACATCGAGCTCTTGTCCCTTTGGCAGCAAAGTCCTCCAGCCTCACTCCACTCATGTGGTTCAGGTGGGACGGCCACGTTCCTGCAGAGCCAGCTTCCTAGCTGAGGCTGAATGGCTCAGGCTGGGGCACAGTGAGGGGAAGGGATGCCTCTCACCCCACCACCCGCCCTCAGTTTGGGTTCTATTTTATGGAACAGACACATCATCATCGATTGGAAGACCAAATGTAGCTTTACCATTGGTCAAGACTTAGAAACCTTGTGGTACATTCTTGGATAGGCTCTCTTAAGCTCTGTTGCACCCTCCTAATGGGAGAGATTGGAAAGCCCCAAATCTTATTTCTCAGTGTCCCTTGCTGCTAGAGTTCTGGACGTAAACTGAACTTGCATCACACTTGCAGAGGAACCTGCCTCCTCACATGGAGAGAAGAGGGATCACCTGAGAATTAGGTAGAGTGGGAAAGCCCTGAGGCCCCGAGACACCAGGCATTGTGGCGGTCGGTGGCCGTGGGGGCACGTCAGGCCGTGTGCCCCAGCCTCCACCCTGCTTTGCTTACACACAACAAATGAACGACTGTTCTTCTACAGCAAGGCAGAAAGGCTCTCAAAGTAAATAAGAATGCTTGGAATTATGTTTTTTGTTTTAAGCCAAAAAAAAAGTAAATAAGAATGTGCACTGGTTGACAGCAAAGGTGTTATTAGAGCTGGACAGAGAACAGGCAAGCACTCCAGTGAACCCCCAGTGGACACAGGACACAAGCAGGAAAGCACTTTACTGCCAGAGCAGTCCCCTCCCTATTTCCTTTATCAGGAAGGATCCTCAGCCTGCAGACCTGTTCCCTTTGGGCAGCCTGTCCCCTCATCAACCCAGGGTGAACCTCACCCTCTAATTCCCGCATGAAGTGAAAAACAAAAACAAAAACCAAAAGCTAAAATATCTGAACTAAATATCCAAATGATTAAAACAAAATCTGGGTGGGTTGAAACCAAAGGGTCTCCCTGGAATGCTTGGCAGTTGATGGCCCAACGGGTCTTCCCACCTGTGCTGTGATCCACTCTGAAGCCAATCTTTCCATTCTTGTACCAAGTCCCATTCCACATTCCTTGGAGCTCAGACCCATTTGCTGATAATTATGTCTCTCCCTAGAATGGCCCAGTCCTTTTCCTCCCCAAAACCGCCCTGTACCAGGGAAACTGCCCCCCAGTTTCTGGGGTACACTGAATTCTTCCACCACTTAGGTCTTTGTTTTTATGACTCCTTCCATCCTGCCTGCTGTTCCAAATTCCACCCCTATGCCCTTTCCCTTCACGTCCTACTGAAGGTCATTTTCTCCATGAAGTATCTCTATTTCTTCCTTTTCTTTCTTTCTTTCTTTTTCTTTCTTTCTTTCTTTCTTTCTTTCTTTCTTTCTTTCTTTCTTTCTTTCTTTCTTTCTTTTCTCTCTCTCTTTCTTTCTTTCTCTTTCTTTCTTTCTCTCTTTCTTTCTTTTTCTTCCTTCCCCTCCCTCTCTCTCTTTTTCTGAGAGAGTGCGCATGCGCACATCTTAGTGCGCATGTACGAACACAAGGGGGCAGTACAGCGGGAGAGGGAGAGAGAATCTTAAGCAGGCTCCATGCCCAGTGCAGAGCCTGACGTGGAGCTCGGTGAGCGTCCGGTGCAGGGCCTCCGCAGACTGAGTCTCACGACCCTGAGATCATGACTGGAGCAGAAATCAGGAGTTGGACGCTCAACTGATTCCACACCCAGCTGCCCCTCCATGAAGTATTTCTTTAACACATAGGGCCTAAGCTGTGGCCCAAGACTTTGAAGGTAAGCAATGACCATTTGTGAAATGAGTAAGTCCTCTAAACACATATGGTTTCTCTTTTACTGAACCCCTCCCTCCCTTTGTGCTGTTTTATGGGGCCTTGCACTCTTCTGCTTGTGTATTTATCTAATTCCTTGCTGGAAACTCCCTGAGGCTGGAGACTGTGTCTTCTGAGCCAGGCTATCCCCATCTGCCCCAGACAAGGGGTTTCCTAGGTTGCAGTTCTTTCAGAGCTAAAACTGGGCAAGTGTCAGGCAAACCAAGGTGAGTCGGTTATCCTAGTCTTGCTAGTCTTTGATTCCATGGATTATGGAAAGAAAGTAGGATGTAGGGTTAAAGTTATGGCTCAGCCATGGCCTCCAAAACACACTTTTCCACATGTCTGCTGCATGTGTGGCTTTTCCACTGGGGGAAACCCCAGTGAGCTAGGAACAGAGTCAGGACTTTATACAGAAGATAAGTTTCCTATCTGAAAGAAAAGGTAAACCCTGAAATATGGGCCTGAAAACACTCAGTAAATCTACAATAGGACCTGTATAAGAAAAGGGGTGGAGTTCATTTTTTAATGGAGCTTCCAACCCCTGTTCTTCCTCCTACATCTATGAGTCCATGGGCTAGTATTACACTCTCTGAGTCTCAGTTTCCATATCTGCAAGGTTTCATCTGGGGATGAAAATCCTTGCCTGGCAGGACTGTTGAGAGTTAAATAAGAGAAGCTATGTGTGTCACTGAGCCCAATGCTTGGTGTCCAGAGATGCCTAGACTAGCAGAGATTTCAGCATCCCTCCTACTCTGTGTACCCACAACCCAAACCGTGTGCCCATCCCCCAGCACTTTGTGCCCACACCCAACACTGTGCTCACACCCCAACCTTGTATACCCACACCCCAACTCTGTGTGCTCACACCCAACACTGTGTGCTCACACATACCAACACTGTGTGCCCACCCCAAGACTGTGCTCACACCCCAACCTTGTATACCCACACCCCAACCCTGTGAGCCCACACCCAACACTGTGTGCTCACACCCCAACCCTGTGTGTTCACACCCCAATTCTGTGTGCTCACACCCCAACCCTGTCTGCTGACGCCCCAACCCTGTGTGCCCACACCCAACACTGTGTGTCTGCCCCCCAACATTGTGTGCTTGCACCCCCTACACTGTGTGCCCATACCCAACACTGTGTGCTCACATCCCAACCCTGTGTGTTCACAGCCAACACTGTGTGCTCACACCCCAACCCTGTGTGTTCACACCCAACACTGTGTGCTCACACCCCAACCCTGTCTGCTGACGCCCCAACCCTGTGTGCCCACACCCCAACCCTGTGTGCCCACACCCAACACTGTGTGTCTGCCCCCCAACATTGTGTGCCTGCATCCCCTACACTGTGTGCCCATACCCAACACTGTGTGCTCACATCCCAACCCTGTGTGCTCACACCCAACACTGTGTGCTCATACCCAACACTGTGTGCTCATACCCCAACCCTGTGTGTCCACACCCCAACTGTGTGTGCCCACACCCAACACTGTGTCTGCCCCCCAACATTGTGTGCCTGCACCCTCTACACTGTGTGCCCACACCCAACACTGTGTGTCCCTTCCCCACTAGCACTTCTTTTCCCCTCACTTCCCACTCACTGTCTCTGCCTTCTCCCTGCCCTCTTCCCACTGGTAGTTATCTTTCCTACTTACAAAGCAGTTAAAATGAGGGCAAAAATCAGCACAAAACTTAGAAAAATCACAAAGTACACAACGTTTTTCTTGTAGGGTTTGATTTGTTCAAATGCCTTCTTCATTTATCTTGTCCATATCCTTCTCCGAAGAGTCAGGAATTGGGGCTTGCAGAGCTGGAGGGGCTGTGGGATGTGGAACGTGCTCCTTAATCTCAGGCCTCTGAAGAGAAGAGGCAAAGCAAAGAAGACATCTTTCCCAGGGATTGTCTCTTAAAGGAGCTGATTCTCTGGGGCAGGGGGAATGCCTCAGCTGGCTCCCGCAAGCTAAACCCACAAGTAATAAACCTCCCTAGGACATGCTGATTAGATAAACCAGTAAGAATTGCGGACAACACAGACATTAGATTTAAAAACTTAAAACAAATGTTACTTTTACAGTGTCTGTGACTAGACAAAGACTTTTTGGTTCTAAAATAGTTGGTTGGTGAGGTAATAGAGGAGGGGCTATGTTAATAGCAGAGGTAGAAAAAAAGGAGAGGTGGGTGGGTTCCAACTGCAAGGCCCACCCTAAAGGATTGGATTCAAGGGCGCTGGAGCGACAGGCTACTGCACGGGGTGAGTAGAGTGGATTTTAAATATATGGAGTTAACAGCTTGGTTGTAGGTTCAGGTTTGGGGATGTGAATGAATGAACCCAATAGTGTAGGCAAGAATCTCCAGCCCACAGAGGGTCAGGTGAGAATTGTGTTGCTTTTTGCTAAAGGCCTGTGCAAGATTTAGAGAGCAAAGATAAGGGACAATCTGTTGTCTAAATTAATTTTTAACTATTTCAACATAGTGAAGGACAAGTAAGATAATGATCAGGTTGTCCTATTGGTGGTGTTGCTATTCTGCATTCCCCTGCCCCCACCTTTGGAGAGGGGAGTATCTATGCATACGTGCATCTGTGCAATGTCAGACATGCACTGAGGGGCTGAGATCTAGATCTAGTTGTATTCTCTGCATGGAGTTCTAACTTCTTAAATCCAGGTTCTTCAGCCATGGAAGTCACGGGGGTTGGTCCTGTGCTTACTTCAGGCTTCTTTCAGTTCGATAAGGGTTATTTCCAGCATCTTCTTGGAGGCTCCTATGAGTCCAGGAAACATGAGACTTATATAAAAATCCCCACTTCAATGAAGCTTTCCCACCTGAAGGAGGTGACCTTTACCAAGGACCAGCTTTATGGGCTCTAGGGAATGGGAGGGAGGTGATGCATGAGAAGCCAGGGAGATAGTCCTCATCTCTCTTCCTAGATGTAACAGACCGTAGTTCTTGCAAATCAGGACTTCTGGGGATCAGTTGGCTATCCAAGAAAGGGTCACCCAGCCCTTGATGAAATTCTAACTTAGAAATCCAGAGCCCTTAGCTCTGTGGACTTCTGTCCCCAAGAAAGGGTTTTTTTACTTTCCTGCAATTTGGGACTGAGCTGTGAGCTCATGTGCTGAGGAATGTTCTCAGGAGTACCCTAAAAACCCACCAACTATGCTGTTTCTCCCCCTCCCCTCCCTAGCTTATTTTGGGTTGCCCAGTGTGAGGAGAGCCATCTTTCCCCATCCATTGAAGGTGCTCAGTAACTGGCTTGTCGCTCGACTGAATGCCTGCCCACTCTCCCTTCGGTTCAGTTCATCTTCTCAGAGAGGCAGTAATCAAGCACTTAGACTTACTGATGGAGATGCTCAAATAGCTTCTCTTTTACCCCCCTGCTCTGTGACCATCGACGGAGGCCAGACCAACAAAGGAGATACTTCAGCACAAGTGATGCGGTCACATGAAATAGATAGCAGAGTGTGTTCTCCGACGTTACCGTCCACAAAGCAGAACCAGCTGGCCTTGGGTTTCCTTTTCATAACCTTCATCTGTAGAAAATTTTGCATCTTGAGCTACTTGAGATCTACTTCCCTATCTAAAGAGCTGGGCTGTGTGCTGCTTCAGCTAATTTATTCTCTCAGAAGTACATAATTTGGATCATTTTATATAATCTTGAAGACAGGAGCCCTTTAAGATTCCTTACTCAAAAATGGATTCAGCTTGGTTTGAAGCCTAATGGGGCACTGCAGTGTTCATTCCTGCTATCTTAGGGCATGAGCTGGGTCTGATTGCACCCTCTTCTTGCGTCTTAGCCTGCTTCCCCTTAATTCAGAACAAGAGCAGCTCTAACAGAGAAACAGAACATGATCATCCACACCTACTTCATTTCTATGCCTTTTACCCTAAACCTGGGCAAACTGCAATATCATTTTATATCAGAATTCCTTGAACACAGGCTCTTTTTTCTTTTTTTAAAGATTTATTTATTTATTTATTTATTTGAGAGAGAGAGTTCATGAGCAGGGGGAGGCGCAGAGGGAAACAGGAAGCAGACTCCCTGCTGAGAGGGGAGCCCAACGCAGGGTTTGATCCCAGGCCCCTGAGATCATGACCTGAGCCAAAACCAAGAGTCAGATGCTTAACCAACTGAGCCACCCAGGTGCCGCCCCACGCCCGCCTTTTAAAGTGTATTTCATGAACTCAGTGATCTAGCTAAGGAATTTTCTGGGATGAGTTTCCAACGCACTGCCTGGCTGCTTCTAGCTCCCTAGCCAGTTTTTACCATGGTACACATGTACACTAGTAATATCATCAGCGACACTGTCCCCATGCACTGAATCGTATAACCCTATGGCTTACTGTGTACGTGCAAGGTACTTTGCTGGGCTTTGGTGGCAGTATGGGGATAAATGGCACATGGGCCCTGCCCTCAGAGAGCTTACAATCTAGTGGGAGGTGCAAGATATATGCATGTTTAGTAATGGTTGAAGATAGTATTGTGTAAGTGTTCCATTAAATAAGCGTGAATCGTGGGGTAAAATCAGAAAGCAGCCTGATTTTTTTACCTGTGATTGCTCTTTTAAATTTATTCTGTGTGGCTGAATCTTGCTCTGCCCCTGGATGAAATTTAGACAAGTCACACGATTGTTCTGGTCACTTGTTGGTCTCAGGCTCATCTCAGAAATGATAATGTTGATCCCAATGATAATCCAAACCTCAATCTCAATTTCAAATTGGGGCCTCTTCCCATCCCAACCTGGTGTTGCTGAAGAAGAGAGGCCTATGGTGGTTGGCGGTCTGGATGGAAAGTCCTGCCTTCTACTCTTCTTTACTTATTTAGTTCCCAGGGGTCTGCGAACGCTTCAGGGTTGTTGCCTGGGGAGGGAGAAGAGGTGGGAGGAGTAGAAAAATTCTCTCTACACATCTGGTCTCCAGCCTCACCAGGGTCCTCAGTGGGGACATGGCAATTCTTTTACACATCCCTGGGCTGACCCCTTGAAGGTCAACCTTTCCACTACCCTCAAAATCCACCCCAAAGGCACACACTCCCACCCCTCACCTCTTTCCTCATGGAGAAAGTCTGTGTGGTCAGGTGGGAATTTTCTCTGCTTCTGCCCCTGCCCATCATCTCTTTCCTTCCTTTTTCTTCCCTGTCTTGGATGAAGTTGCTTGTCCTCCTTCCTTGGTCCTGCTTCAGCCTTTCACCTCTGCTCCTTATCAGGAATCCCCCAGAAGCCAGTCAGCACAGTAGGTTCACCTGGCATGGAGAATGCCAGGGTTTGGAGACCAAGGGTCCTTTTTTAGGGCTTATTCTTTGTTGTGTCTCATACATTATAGCTCTTTGTAATCAGTCTCTACATCTAACATAACTCCAATCAAAGTAAAAAAATGACTATTTAAAAAAAGTGTTTACAATGATATACTATCTTATTTAAAATTAAATTTA